AATAATAATAATAATAATAATAATAATAATAATAATAATAATAATAATAATAATAGGAGGAGGAGGAGGAGGAGGAGGACGACGACGACGACTCTAATATCCCAGATTCTAGCCCTGGTAATCTGTTGTCCTATTTGCAATTACTGTGCACTGTGATCCAAAAGAAACTGGAGCATGTAAAAAGCCCAGCAAGCAGTGAATTCCAAACACCACATTTCCGGCCAAGTGAAGGTTTCCTCAGCCCAGCCCTCTGGTGTGAGTCCTCCTGGCACCGTCGCGGCTGACATCCCTGCCCCTCCCAGCTTCAGGAAACAGCCGCGGGTGTGCAGCAGGTCCCACTAGCAACACAAAGCCAGCACACTCCACACAAAGCCCCCGACCGGACGCCACATCTGCCCCAAGGCCATTTGGTTGCCGAAGAGAAACCCCGCCCCTTGCCAGATGTGCCAGCTAACCGTTCTTTCCCCGCCTCACTGAAAACCAAGCCCTCCACGCAGAGAGGCCCCTCAAGGCTGTTGGGGCAGAACTGCGCTTAATCTCCTCCTCCTCGTTTCCAAGCATGGAGGAATTCTCACCCTGCCCCTTGCCGTCGAAAGAACGGCGGGAGGTCTCTCGGTGAGCGTATGCCTCACACATGCTAGACTTCTACCCTGCTTTTCCTCCAGATGCTCAAGCTATTCACTCTCCTCCTCTGATTGTTCCCTGCCACCCTACCCCACCCTGGTAAGGCAGATTGGGCTGAGAGAGCACGACTGGCCCCCAAACCCCCGGGGAACTTCCATGGCCAAGGGGAGACTTGGGTCTCCCGGCTCCTAGCCCAACACCTTTGCTGCCCCACAAGCCGGCCCTCTCATGGGCCAGAGCAAGGGAGCCAAACTAGTCATACGGTGCCTCCAAGAGGTCAGGAACAAGCCTAGCATCTTTTCTCGTTTTCTAAATCAAGGAGAGCACTAGAAAAGGATGTGTCCACTTAGAGTCTGATGTGCGATAAAATATTCTGTTGATTCAGCTCTATCTGCAGAGGGGGTTCAAAAGTCAAGATGGCAGCTATGTGCATGTAAAGAAAGTGGGCCCTTGACCCCCACAGCCGCAGCACCATCTTGACTTTTTTGCACTGCTGGCGGATGGCCCTGATTCCGCCCCAGCTGCACACCTAGAGCAAGACACTCTCTCACAAAAGGGGTTCTTTTGCATCCTGCTCTATTTCTACTACTTTGAGACTAGCCTGGCTCTCCACTCCCCACAGGCAGTTGACCCTCCTGAAAGGATATACGGTGGCAGAAGAATCCACTTACCTTTTCAATGAAGTATAAAGCCCAATGCCAGTAATTATGGCACGCAAGCATATCGCTGTCCTGGAACGGAGAAAGAGTGGTCACCATGAACCAGAAGCGTATCCTGGTGCAACCAGAAGGGAAAGACCCTCCAGAACTACATTACTGGCAACTATCATCAGAGAAATGCCAGGAGGATCGACTCAGCACCAAAGAGCTTGGTCCTGTATGCTGATGTTCCAGATGTGAAACATCCCCCCCCCATTCCTCTCCTGATGCCGAGGGTCCCTGTTGCAATATTCATTTTTAGAGCAGTCTGCTAAGATAGATCAGTATTCAGACTCCTGTATTACTGAAGGATGGAGTTAAGCAAACAGTGATTTGGCCAAGACCTGCCACCACGTTTGAGACAGTGACAAGATCTGAATGGAGAATTCTCTCGTGCACAACGAATCTTCAGCTGCCACCCTGATGGATCACCAAACGCCGGACATTTCATTTGCTTGCTTATCTGGGCTTCCTAATCTGTCCCCTGCTAAATATCCAGGGACAGCAAAACTGATCACACGCAAGGCCCAAATAATAAATGAAGTGCCTAACGTGTGACAAAAATCTAGGATACTGATAAAAGCACTCAAAATCTGCCAGGGGTCTGCAAGTAACAGCTCTCCAAAAGGCACCCCAGATGATGCATGTAAAAAAGGGGCAAAGCTTCAGTTAACCTCTTGACTTTTTTGACCACCCTGCAGGAACCCTGTAAGGAACCACTATTGCTACATCATGTGACACGGGCCAAAATGTGCCACGAGCCCTTCCAGGTGAGAGGAAGCTGGTGGCCACTTCAGGAAAACTGAAGAAGCAAAGGGTTACCTTCCAGTTGTTTTCAGTTTGCTTCATGAAGGCCAGTCCGCTCTTCAGATCTGCTTTCATTTCATTCACGTGAGCTAAAGCGTGGACAGACCATGCATCTCTCTGGTTGATTGCTAAAGCCTAAGAGAAGAATGAAGGGAAAATAAAATATGCATTTTAACTCGGTTGTCGTTGCGTTACGAGAAAAGCTTCATGTAACACTTGGCTAGACTTCCTGGAGTAAGAGGGTGGGGAAATCCAAACCCAGGCTCAAGTAAGCAAGGTGCAAAGGATGGCAGATCTGGGTTTGGGGAATGAGGAAGGAAGGAGCAAACCGTTCAGGGGTGACCTGCAGAAAGGATCGCAAGTCCTGAGAAAGGCAGAAGCATGAGACAGAAGCATCCAAGAACCCCATCTTGATTTTGTTTAGGGTAAGATGGGGCAGAGTAAAACTTGGCCAGGTTTTCAAGGATCCTGTTATTCTACTTTACTACAATAAAAAGCATTGCTTGAATCCTTGCTGCGCATGTTTCTTGACCTGGCCTACCTCAGAGGGCTGGCATCAATCTTGAAAGCTGCCTGAGTTTCCTTCTGCCCCATCTCTTCCTTAACAAAATTATGGTGAGGTTCTTTTCAGTTTCTTTATCACACTTCCCTCTTTCTCATGACCGTGTAATGTTTTTTGCAAGTCCCCCCTTAACCCTTTGCTCATTCCTTCTCTATGCCAAAGATCATCTCTACATTCCTTTACGCAGGGCTAGCCAATATACTACCGAAAAGACCAGAAGAAAAGGCTTCTTCAGGGTTCCTGGAGGGGATGCGGCTGGAGGCTACAGAAGAACCTCATAACCGGTGAAGGGAACAAGCTGACTTTGGGTCAGCTCAACAGAGGCCCAGCTGTGCCCACGTCCTCTTTGGAGGTTCCCATGGGCAATCTGAGTGTTCACTTGGAGGGCTTCTGAGGAACCACCTTCCCCCAAGGAGAACAAAGAAAATTGAGGGTGGACTCAGCAGCAGAAACTCAAATGAGAGACAGCAAGGGTCATCACGACATTAATCCCCTCCTTCTTCCACTTGGTCAGTTGTTGGTATGTTTCTCTCTCTGCCAACCCCGTGGGGATCGAAATATTACTGTACGTGCTCCAGTAGATGTTTTGTCTGTAGAGAAGGGTGAAAGGCTTCAAAGCAGAATGCTCAGACAGCCCTTTGGCCAGAGATCAGCCTAAAGAGCATCCGTTCTGCCTCCTCTTTGGTCCTGGGAGCAAAAATCTGGGGAGCATCAACATTTGGGAAACCCCAAAGGAATCTCCTTTGTTGAGCTCTTAGGAAGCTAACGTTGCCCTCCGGGGCCCAGCCTGTCACCCAGAGCCACCCTCCCTCACTCAGCACGGGAGGAGAGCGTGTTAGTCCATGGTAGCAAATGATCAGAAGAAGTCTTCCAACAAATTTTATTCAAAGGCAGAAGCTTTCTCTGCATCCGACGAGGGAGTTGCAGCTCATGAAAGCTTCTGTCTTTGAATAAAAGTTGTGACTCAGAAAGGTACTGCCAGGTTCCTTCTGATTTTTTCCTCCCCACTCAGCCTTTCCGTCAAAAAATGAAGGGCAAGGTTGCCTGTGTGCCCAGGTCGGCTTCTTCTTTTAATTACCTCATAGGCCAGCTTCTCAGCACGATCAAAGAAATTGGTTTCTACCAGTCCAAAGGAGTACATGCCTTTAATGTAGCTAAATGAAAAAGGGAAAACTCTCACAGTCAAAGAGGTTAATCAGCAGCGCTTCGATATGCCTCCTCAAGCAACATTTCTGACCCTCGGCTGACAGGCGAGGCCAATCGGGTTTCGGGTCAGAAGTGACTGAACTCCCAAACCAGGTCAAGGTAAAACAATTGCGCAAGAGGTAATTTGGGTTAGTTTTAACGCTCAATTGGTTTTCTTTGTGCTTTAGCAAGCTAGGTGAACCTGGGCCATTTAGTTAGTCTGTGGGTCGATGACGTGGGTTAATTCAACACTGTCGGTATATTCAACAAGCAAGAATGCTGGGCAGACAGGCTCTCTTCTGAACTTTTCCTGTTTCATCACAACTCTCCTAATGGAATCCTAGTTTATTCCATTCAGTCTCAGTTTTTCTCCCCAATCCTTCCATCTTTCATTGTGGTTGTTAACACACACAAAAAAACCTGTTAGGGAGGGAAAGCTAGAATACTTTGGACTGAAGGGCATTTTTGGGGAGGCAAAGAGTGTCTCACTCACCATAATGCCATTTCGCAAAATGATGCAACTTGTATCACTTGTGCAATGACAGCACAACGCGAGTGGCATTGCTGCGATGTCATGAGGCATGCAACATCACTGGGGCTTGTACCAATGTCGGAGGATGGGGGAGAGAAACATGAAAATGGGGGGAGGAGGGAAAATGGAAGAGTGGGGAGCAACAGGAAGACGGGTTTGAACTGTGAACAGAAACACTTTGCACTGGAACAATCTGTTTGTAGAAAAACAATAGCTTTGGGAAAACATGCAACTAGAACAGCTTTTTGGCTCTAAAATTGAATCATACTGAAGTAGGATATATTTCAGGCTGAATTATTTTTTTAAGGCTGAGACCATGCTAGAATCTGCATCAGAAGCAAAACTGCCTTACCTACTAAGAGGAATATCTGGGGTCCAGTGAGGATAAACTCGGGCAATGGAGTCTCTCATTTGAGTCTGGTATCCCAAATAAAAATAGCCATCGTGGGCAAATTTTAGGGCCAACAAGTCAGTTGGATTGCTCTGTAGGATTTCTTCCCACGTATCACAGGCTCTAAGCAGCTGCCTGCACAGGAGAAAACTTTACAAATTAGTGTTCATGCAAGGCTATAAGTAATCATTCTCACTTCCTGTAACTACCCTCCAAATGCAATTAAAACATAATTTTAATAAAAGGCCGATAAAAAGTTTCTTTTGCTTTTACAGGTCAGGAAGCGTGCACAAAACATTACAAAACTGAAATATTTCAAATTCAAAATGCCCATTTTTGCATGCAAATCTGATCTGTTGAGTGTGGAACATGCTGTTTTACCATTTTGAAAGCGTTCCAATCTTGAAACAGCCCTGTCTTGAGTTCAAAATACTCTGAAAGTGCCCTGGAAACACAACTGACTGAAAGAGCCCGTTTCGGGCTTAAAACAGGGCATTTTGATTTCAAAAGGGCTGCAATTCAAAACCTTTTGTGCATCTCTAGAGGCCAGGAACTTCTGTGAGCCTATCCTGCTGTCCGTAATGTGAATAGGATGCCCTGGTATTATAATGATTCACCGCTGCCCTTTGGGACGGAGAGAGAGGCTACTAAGGAGGAACGCCCCAAACCCCTTGCTGTTGGCTTTGCTGGAGAGGGAGCTGAACTTCCAAACGATGCCAGCTAGCCCATTTTTGCCCAGCTCACAAGCCCTCTGCCGCAGCTGCCAGACCCACGCTGGCTTGGTTGGAACGAGAAGACCCAAGGGGCCAAGTCAACTCTTCCTGCCTCCAGGAAGCCCGAAGAGGAACTGCAAGGGAACCAACCAAGACCTTTCCAAGTGGCGATGCAGTTAAGAGCAAGACGGGGTGGCTCATTCTTTTGGAGATGTTTTTGTTTGAGTTCAAAACCAGAGTGCCTCAGTGCCCAGGTCAACAGGCATGGCCAAGGAGTGCCTCGTTTGGCAAGGAGAAAAAGTCAACTGAGTACGAAAACCCCAAACCAGAAATCTCACCAAAAGGGAGCAGAGGCTGCACAGTGTCTCCATTTTGCAACAGAGGTCTCAGAGAGAAGCGACACATTCTGTGGACGTCCACAGGCCTCGATTTGACTGCAAATGCAAAGCACTGAACGACTTACCCACGAGCAAAGAACTCCAGGGCGGACACGTGCATCTTCTCCCGCTCAGCCAGTGGCTGAGAGTGTGAGAGGGACACCATTTTCTTGATGGCATCGTCCAGTTTCCTGTCCAGCCGCACCGAACTCCCAGTGCCAACCAGGACCAGGCCGTTGGCAATCACCTCACCCATGACTACAAGGAAAGCCCAAAGGTGTTTTCAAGCCTAGAGGCAGACTAGCAGGCAACCAGCCAACTAACCAACCAACCAGCTAACTATAGTTTTACAAACTTAAAGCTTTAGGTTAAGGTTAAAAAATAACCTGTTGTACTATAAATCACATTTGCATATTATATCGTAAACTTTTCAAACATAAAACGGAAGGAAGGAAGGAAGGAAGGAGGGAGGGAGGGAGGGAGGGAGGGAAGGAAGGAAGGAAGGAGGGAG